AAGTTAACACAGAGCTCTTCTTCTATAAACAATAGACTCACACACACACACACACACACACACACACACACACACACACAACTTGTCTCTCTCAGTAATCTTTTAGCATTTAATGAACTTAAAAATATACATTGAAAATATTTTTGAGCACCCAAAATTCTAATAGCACAAGTTTTTTTTTCTTAATTTATGGCTCAGGCACTTTTCAAATAGACTTCTTAATGCTAGGCATGTTCAGTACTGATACTTGATGACAACAAATGCCCTGTGTCATTGGTGGGAGCAGTTTAGCATAGTTTCCAAAGGAAGATGATAACTTTTCATATTCCAATATTAAACTGTTGCTTTATTTTCCTTTAAAGGGAAGGGAGCTCTCAGCTGTACGTCCTGTGTGTGGAGTTACCATCTAGCAGGTGGAATCTGCTACTCTGAATGTTTTGCTGGAGAATACAAAGTCCCAGAGGTACTATCTATACACAAGCATCTTCTCTAGAAAATATTTACATAATAATGGACTTGAAAACCAAAGGAGAAAAGCAGAGCAAACAGTGTTTGATTCAAAATTCAAAAGTTATTTTTATTCCCCTCTTGGTGGAGAAGACATGACTCCAAATGCTTCTCTGAAATGAATGGAATTCCATCCTTGTAAAACAGGATTAAGTCAGACTACAATCAGGGCCTGAGTATGTGCAAAACAGAGGGGATCAAATGAGAGATGACCCCTATAATGGGGGATAGTTGAGATGTGTGGGAATGGGTGGTAGGCATTAGAACAGGCATTTCCTTACCTCACTTCCAAAGGATTCCAGAGGTGATGGATTTAATTCACATTTTCTTTTTTGTTTTATCTTTTCCCAGTTGTTCTACCCACCTCAATTATCCTAGCAGCATTACTGAGCAGTTTCCTTCAAGGGTGTGTCATTATTATTAATAATTATTATTAATTATTTGTATTGTGGTAGAGCCTATGAGCCCCATAGACTCAGGTCCCATTGTGCTAGGCACTGTACAAATACAGAACAAAGACATGGTTCCTGCCCCATGAAACTTACATTCTAAGTAAGTTTCAGAGCTAGGCTGTGACTGAGTCTGATCTGTGTGTAACTGAGTGCCTCTGATGAGGTGCTGGCTAATGCCTTCAGCTGCCAAGGGCATTCAGCACTTCACAGGATCTGTCCCCCATGAGCCAGCAGATGGTAAGGAAGAGGGATAAGAGGGAAAATACTAATTTTCTCCAGTCATTGTAACACCAGCCATAGGGACCCAGCTCCGAATCATTTGCCATGTCAATGAAATGAGCTAGGCCATGTGGTTATTTGCTGATTGTCACATTTAAAATAACTATTAAGGGAATTGAGCTGCATTAGGCTTCAAGAATGGAGAATTACATTTTAAAAATACTCCAGAGTTTTATATTACTGTGGGGCCTCGTTTTCAGTGTCGTTTTTATTACTGTTGATGACAGAAGAAATTACAGAGATGTGTGCAGCTCACCAAGACACTATATGGAAGCCACTAGTGGCTTCCATGTGTTACAACTCCTGCTCTGTGTCAATTCACAGAAGATATGAGTTGTTACAGCTCCCAATTATAGTGCCTTGGCTCTTTAGCTTACGATGTAGTAGCTCATGCTTTTAGTTCTGGGGGTGCCCCATTCATTCCTTGGTGTATTAGCCAAGATGGTGGCCATCACCTAAACCAGAGGTGGGCAAACTAAGGCCCGGGGGCCGCATCCGATCCTTCAGACATTTTAATCTGGCCCTCGAGCTTCCGCCACGGAGCAGGGTCTGGCGCTTGCCACACTCCGGCACTCCAGTTGGGGAGCGGGGTTGGGGATGTGCCCCACTCCTTGCATACCGTGGCTCCGCGCAGCTCCTGGAAGCAGTGGCACGACACCCCTCTGGCTCCTACATGTAGGGGCAGCCAAGGGGTTTGGCACGCTGCCTCTGCTCCAAGTGCCACCCCCACAGCTCCCATTGGTTGGGAACCACAGCCAATGGGATCTGCAGGCATTGTGTCTGTGGACAGGGCAGCGTGCAGAGCTGCCTGGCTGCACCTCAGTGTAGGAGCCAGAGGGGGGACATGCCACTGCTTCTAGGAGCTGCTTGAGGTAAGCACCGCCTGGAGCCTGCACCCCTGATCCTCTTCCACACCTCAACACCCTGCCCCAGCCCATATCCCCCTCCTGCCCTCCAAACCCCTTGATCCCAGCCTGGAGCACCCTCCTGCACCCTCATCCCCAGCCCCACCCCAGAGCCCTCACCCCTCCCAGGCACACCCCAACCACCTGCCCCATCCTGGAGCCCCCTCCCACATACTGAACTCCTCATTTCTGGACCCACCCCAGAGCCTGCACCCCCACAGCCAGAGCCCTCACCCCCTCCTGCACCCCAAGCCCCAATTTTGTGAGCATTAATGGCCCACCCTACAATTTCCATACCCCGATGTGGCCCTCGGGCCAAAAAGTTTGCCCACCCCGACCTAAACACTATGACTAAATCCTGGTCCCAACTAATTTTGCCATTTATGTCCACGGGACCAGAATCTGTCCCCTCAGATTACAGCAGCATAGAATTGCCAGCTCCGTGCTGAAATAGAAAAGGAAAGCAAATGTGGTTTGATTGTGTTCTGTATCCCCAGAGAGACCAATCAGAATGTGAAAAATGCCATGATACCTGCATAGAGTGTAAAGGGCCTGGACCCCTCAACTGCACTGTGTGTCCAGCTAACATGAAACTCTACCTAGACGAGGGCCGCTGTGTGCAGTGCTGTGATGGCTCTAATCTCACAGAAACCCAGGAGTGCTGCGACTGCAGTGAAACACAAGGTAGGACTGAGATGAAGAGAAATGTTGATATTTAATGACCTTGTGGTCTGTTGGGTGTTTGTTTTGTTACTTAAACTGATTTTCTTCTGAGCTGCAGAATTATCATTGCAGGACTTTGCTGCATACAAATGCATTTCTAATACACCATTGCCAGAGTATCTAGAGTCTCTCACTCACTGCTGCTATTTTAAAGGGTCAGATCCCAGCAGACAGCTTCCAAGTCTTCTCAGAATGTTTCATGATCTGGGTGAATGGGAAATGCTTGTGTAAATAGGTGGCAAATTGAGGCATGCATTTTAAATTCAAGTCAAACTCACCCCGGGTGTAACTCCATTGTAGCTACTCAAAGTAGCTACGGTGCTTTACCCCAGAGGTAAATTCAGTCCAACACATTTAAATTGTTAGTGGGTTTAAATGTGCTATTAGACAGAATACATAAACTTTCACCTAAAATGAAGTCCCCACTTTAACTATGTCACGTTATTCACATTTTTTTGGTTACCTTTAACTTGCAGATGAGTGTGTATTACAGACCATTCTGAACCTACCAACTCAAAGCAAAGGGAAAACTACTTTTTTTGTTGCTACCTCCATTTTGCTGATCCTCTGCATTGGAGCCATTGTATTCATCTGGAGAAGATCACGAGCCAAAGCCCAGACAGTAATCAAAGGTGGGTACCAGAAGCTGACAGATCATTCAAAACCCTTCCCTTCTTACAAGAGCAACCACCATGACAGCACCAGCTATCAGGATGATCAAGTGATTGAGTATAAAGACTGGGATAAAGATGACGAAGAAGATGATGATGATGATATTGTATATATGAGCCAGGATGGCACAGTCTATCGTAAATTTAAATATGGACTTCTGGAGGATGAGGAGGAAGATGAACTGGAATATGATGATGAAAGTTATTCATTTAGATAATTTTTTATTAATTTGTGTATTTTTCCTCCTTACTGCCTTTCTCATTACATTAAATTAATTTAGTTAGGTTATAGGGGATATAAAATATTTCTCTCTCTGCATGACTGGGCTCAAGCAGAATTTTATGTTTATGGTAATTCTAAGAAAAAGGGATTTTAGCTATACATACTGTGAAAGCAGAGTTGTTTCTAAACTTTTGTTTCCAAAACATTTTATAAATCCTTGATGGGTCTTTCAAGCAGCAGTACTCAAGAAATGGGTTGGCTAAAAGATTCTTTTTCTGTATACTCATGTGTGGAAATAAAATATTTTCCAGTATGTATCTGTAAGTGCATAGGTATATAAAACAGACACACGTATCCAACTAGCACTTGCCAATCCCTTTTAAAAATATACTGATATAAACAAGACAGGCATATGTATAGATGTCCCTGGGATAGGATGTCACTTAATTGTTTATTTCTGTGTGATTAAAGTTTGTACTGTAGTTCACATTATAATGTGATTTTGCATATTTTACTCTCTTTTCCTTTCATAGTATTATCCAAAGCACTGGTAAGCCCCAAAATCTGACACATTTCTATAATCTTTAAGTGCATTTCCTCAAAAATTTAATATCTCTGACATTCAGTTTTAGATAAAATTTGAGGTCACTCTGACCCTATTCCAAGAAGAATGTATTGCTGTAGCCATGGCTTGAATGAAAAAAAATCTGAAATATTTTATATGACTAACTCCTGTTTCACTTTTATCTTAGTGAGTATGCATTTTAAGCAATATTTCATTTTGTACAGACTTATTTGGACTTAGTACAAAGGAGTGCTTAGTCTATAAATATGTATGTGGAAAAATCTTGAGATTACAGAGAATTGTCACAGAACAGACATGAAACAACAGATTTATTAATCCTACTTTTCATATCTATCACAAATGGCTTTGGATGTTCAGATAATAGGAAAGGGAGTAATCAACACTGCACTGAAAAACAAAATGAAACAATGGAAGACAATAATGATCTTTTTATCATTATAGATTGTATAATTTATTGCATTACATGAGAAGACGCTAAACCTGGTTCCTTTGTTGTGAAAGAATAAACTGAATCTTTATACAAAAGCATGCCAAGAAGGTTGTTATTCACTAGTAATATGGCCTTGTGGCTAAAACCGTGGACTAGGCCTTAGGAGACCTGCGTTCAATGCTGCACACTGCTACAAAGTTCCTATGTGATTGTGGGCAAATCACTTACTTTCTCAGTCTCAGCTCCCCAGCTGTAAATCAGAGCTAATAATATTTCTGTATTGCGTGAGATTGTTAATTCATTAATGTTTGTGAGGAACTCGGATACTATGGTAAGGGATGCCATATAAAAACCTAGACAATGCATTTAATAGTCCTTGTCTCCTTACAATACACAATTGGTGTATACACTTAGAGTATTTTTGGTTAACACTGATAGGAGAGCTTTAGAAATACTTGTGACGACCTGAAGGAAGCTGACTTTCAGTATATTTCCAATATTCTTACTACTGTCATTTATTGGCTGGTTAAAGAAACGCCTCTATAAAGTCCATTTTGCTCCTTCAGGGTGCGCTCACGTATTTTAAATCTTCTCTGGGCCACTAGGTGTGTAGTCCCAATGGATTACAATTACCATGGATCTCCCCTACAGGAGGAATTTAGAGCCAAGTGAAATGTACCCACCTAACTCAGACTAGGGAACACCCGCCTTTCCCCTATTTATGCAATGTCTGATGTTATATAGACTCCATGTAAAATATGCTATGGAACACTTTACATAAGTACTATCAACTACAGGTTATGCCTAGCAAACAGAGTTAAAAGTTTGGTTTAGGTAGTATATTAAATTCTGGATGAAGTTAGGATTGTCAAATCAACAGCCCATTCACTTTATTAAAGGAAAAAAATCATTAATTCAGGTTTCTTTCCCACTTCCACCATTTCCCACCTCCACAAAACCCAATCCAATGCCCACTGAAGTCAACGACAATCTTGGACTGAGTTCTAATTATTTAAATCCTCATTGTCAAAGTGGGATGATGCTGATTAATTACACATCTGAATTCGTAATACAAAAACGTGGGCTGTTGTCTATGTATCTATTGTCCCCTGCTTTGTAATGAAAAGGGCTGAAGGCCAAATTTTCAAACCCTTACTTGCAGACCAGGGGAAGGGTTAAAACCATTTAACATATTGCCCAACATAAATCAATGGCTTATAATTATAGGAAAAGATGTAACAATAAGGTACTTTGAAAATAAAGATTTGACAAATCACTTTAAGTAAAAGCTCATTCTTGGTAAAAGTTCTCAAAACAAAACAAAGGCTAGAATAAGAAAAACAGTGAAAACATATTTGAAAGGCCATACCGAGAAAAAGAACTATTCAGTTTCCTGTTCACACCTCTCATTTAACAATACCCTTATTTTAGTAGTGGTTTGTATAAATTGGCTGTAAGAATATGCTTTAACCTGAAACTGCCCTTATCAAATTTCAAAGGCTTATTTTAAGTCCCTAATATGCTTAAAATTGCTCTAAAAATTATGTATGAACTGAGCAGCCTATGGGCTTTCAGTTTCAGCATGAAGAAAGGCTGGTGTGTCCAAAACTACCCAAATGACAAATTAATGGAAATGTCTTGCACAATATTCCTTTTTGAACTCCTGTAACTCAAAAAGGGATTTGTTTTAAACTAAAAATGTGCAACTCACTATTCAAAAATATGGTCCTACCTAATGGACCAGATATAAAAATCACAGTGGTTTTAGTACACCTCTGAGAGCCAGAAACCTTTGAGTTCTACTCTCAGTTCTAGTTTGCACTGTTTCTGTGGCTTATCCCCCAGTCCTCAAAGATATTTATTTAAGCACCTAACTCCAATGGGATATATTTAGGCACCTAATAAAGAGAGTCTGCACTGTAAGCACAATGTAGAGATTGAGGGTCAGATCTTCAAAGGTATTTAGGCACCTAACTCCCATTGGAGGTACAGATCTGCCTAATCTTTAGGTGCCTAAATATACCCCATTGGAATTAGGCACCTAAATACCTCTGAAAAAATCTAGGCCTTAACTTCTACATTGTGTTTAGGTTACAGACCTGCCTAGTGTTTGGCTTTTGCCCTTCTGCATCCAGCTTGACTTGCCACCTATGGCTCTCTGGCTACCAAAATTTTTAATCTGTATCTCTTGACTGCTATGGAGATCCATTCCTCCAGCTGCTGCAAGGCAGGAAAGAAGCCATAAAAAGAAGCATGAAGAGCTGCTTACCGTTACTATGAGACTGGGGCTGCAGAAGCAGAGCAGGCCAGGCCTGGCTAGCAGAGAAGCAGCAAGAGGCGCCTTCCCCGTTTCCATAAGAGCAGTGCTTTTGGATGAAAGAGGTGGGACAGGCTGCTGTGAGGAGAAGGCTGAGTTCTAAGAGCTCCTGGAAGAAGATATTGATTTTGTGTTGGGTGAGATGGAAGAAATTAATTATGTTTTACACAGTGGGAGATAATTAATTTTGTGGAGGGGGACTGGTTTTGTTCAGGAGGGAATTGATTGTAAGGGGTGAATACTTGATAAATGGTATCAACAGGAGCTTGAGGGGGAGGAAGTTTTGTAGTGGGGTGACGGGGGTGTTTTGCAACAGGATGCTGATCACCTCAGCCATGTTTGTTTTATTAGTTCTAAGTGATCAGATTAACCCCTTTGAACGTTATTTTAAAAAAAAATCAAAACTAGATGGTAAATGTGGCGGACACTAAAAAGTATCACTGAAAGCCAAGGAGAGTCTCTGGTTTTAAAAGGGCTCTCTCTACATATCTATCTATCAATAGAACCTACAGTCCCTAGATGAGGGATCAGGGTACTATTGTAGTAGGCAATGATTTTAAAAAAATAATTATAATAAAGGACTAAGTCTATTGATATTATCTAGCAATCTGGAGAAAAAATGTTTGTAATTAAGTTTTCACTAGTGAAAGAGCCATTGTCATCCATTTAAAAAGGAAACAGCAAAAATCAATTTTGATTTACATCAGTGTGAAAAAGAGTAAGATTTGACCAAGTGAATTTTTACTAGGTTTTCATTAAAAATCTATTCTTGTGGAAATACTACCCAGGAAGTAATAGTAGCTTCAGGTGAGTACAGTGTTAGTTACACAACATGGCAATAAATCCTAGACAGTAGAAATTCTGTGAATAAATAAAACCTAGTCCTAAGAATTTAGGATGATATTGATGGGTAGAAGGTGAAGATATATAATTTGCCAAATAGTAGGAAGACTTGCTAATAAAAGGTGATTTCACATGTTGTTGAGGAGTCTGCAGGGATTCTTAGAAAACAGCATGGAATTTTAATAAACCTTTTGGTGCAAGATTCCAAAGCTCAGACACACGGTAGCTGTACCAATCTCCCTATGTACAACCGCACTTTTAAGCAGTGTGAACAAGATTTTTCTTCTTTTTGTACAATCTCATTGCCCTCAACACAAAAAGCAGGTAGGGCACTTTCATGACAAGAAAGAGTGAAGTCTGCTGTCTGCAAAGGAGTCAACTGAAGTAATACAAAACCCAACTTTAACTAGTTGATTATATACATTACATACACACATACATATCCATATTAGAAATTACTAGTAACCAGTGGTTCTCAAATGTTGAACATTAACAATTGTTAGTTACTAACGTAAGTCAGGCTGAAAGAATCAAGCAAAGTTATTGCACTTTATTCAACGTTTTCAACATCTGCTAAAAATGTACACATTTCACACTAAACGAACAATACCAATTTTATCCTACCTAAAAGCTATTGTTCAGTTTTTTCCCTTTTGAAAAAAAAATGAATATTGACTGGTCCCTAGACTAGACATAAGTTTATTCAAAGACAGCAGTAGATTTCAAAAAGACACTAACTCGTATTTGGCCCAAAATGTAAACTGTGGAAAAAAAAGTATTTTGATGGTTCTTTTAAAATTCTAACAAACATTTTTAAAAAGCCATTTCCTTTGCAATGTTTGTAACCCAACTACTGCAGCACTGGGAAATTGAAAGTGATACAAAGTTTTCATTGTAAAAGCTGAAAGAAAGGCAAGTAAACAAGCAGCATAAATAGTGAACAGTTGACAATGTTTTCAGAACATGCCAACCAATATGTAAAAATTATTTATACCAAGCAAGACATTTCACCTGAAAACATGAGACAAACAGGAATAACTGTTACCCGGCTACAGTTCCTTTTTTTTTTTTTTTTTTTTTTTAAGTTTAGCTCAGATGTTGTAACAGCAGAATAAGCAAATACAAGATTGGTACTTGTACATTAGTATATAGTACAAAAATGTAACTGTTCATAAAGCTTCTGTTGTACTAAGTTGTATCAAACTTAGTTAACTGATATCCAGCAAGTACATAACAAAACACAAGGGCAGAGAGATACTTTGAGACACATTTTTGCTCTCATACACCAACCTCAAGACACTACTCTATATAAACCAGCTCACTATAACTATACTTCTGTCTCACTTTCAGTTGTCTTATATGATTAGCAGTTCAAGTTCTCTCTGCTCAGTGCAATGGTTATACATTGTGAAATGACTCTTGAACATTAGCGTTCATTACTGATTATGAACAATTGTACTCAAATGTCTTAAGGCACCTTTGTTTCCTAAAATGGTAAACAATTCCTCAACTGACACACAAAATCATTGGCAAAAAGTTTATAAATGCCACAATAGTTTAGTTTTAAAACCCTAAATTAACAGATTTACTTTTCAATACGGCCCCTTTTTCTTAATAATATATATAACTGCTACTTTGTTCCCCCAATAGAGAAAGGGGGAAATGTGAAATATCAGAATTAACTGGACATCTTCATGCAAGAAGAAGATCCTCCCTTCACTCCTTCATTTGAATTAAATTTATCCCTAGCAGTTACCATTCCTTCCGACTTACAAGTCTGAATTGTTGTGCAGAGTGTAAAAAGACATCTTACACTGAGTCATATAGTAAAATGCCACTCACATTAACCATTCTTTTTAAACAGTATTTTCTACCGCATATGATTGAGTTTTCTCCCAACTTTGAACAGAAGACAAATGAGAAATTCTGAAACTTCTTTGGAAAGTTTCAGACAGCAGTTATGTCAAGAATTTTCAGTGTGCACTCTGAAAAGATAGCTAGGACCAGCTCAAGTACTATTTGCTCTTCCTCAACTGATTTAGATTCTTTTCTCTCTTTCATATCAACAGGACTGTTAAGTTCCAGTTGCAATATCTTTAATTGGCGATACGCAAATCAAAGAATTCAACTTCATTCTCATGGCAAGATCCTCACAACTGCTCTAGTCTCTTTACACTGCGTGAGAGAGCCAGAGTAGCACAAAGGGAACCTAGAAGCCTGTATTCGGAGAAGGATTCCCATCACAGGAACTGAGGAAGCCAGCTCTAAGTCTGACTTCTGAGGACCCCATAAGCCCTGAAATGAAAGGCATGCTGGGGGTGGGGGGGTGTCAAAGCAGGATTACAGCACACAGCACTGCAGAGATTCTGGACAACACTGCAGTGCACAGGGCAGTGCTCGGTGACAACTGTATATTACAGGCCCTCAGCACACTAACATATGTGAAGCGTCATTCTAGGCCTAAGGAGCAGCCCAGGATCAGGAATGCAAAATCCCCAGGTTGAGACTCCAGAATGAATTTGCATGGTTAGTAGTTAGAAGGAACAAAAATCACATACTTGTAAGAGAAGCAGATTTGATCTGGAATCAGACTAGAAATACGGAGCCCCATTTTTATAGAATCTGGCTTGGAGTACAACCACAGTTTAGATAATATGGCATTTGTCTGCATGTTTATGTCTTGTATGGCAAGAGAAACCATAATTAAGTATTTACTTTTCACTGAAATGTTTATACTTTGAATTTATCCTCTTCACATAGTGTCCCA